ATATATATGGTCAGTGGTTTTTCATTAAACAAGATAAAAGAAACTTACCTATTCCAAAAATTGTTGTTTCTGTCACCAGCTTGATAACAGAGCAAAAGAAAAAAAAACAAGCTGTAACCATTGAGGTCAATCCGACAAAATGTAATGGAGTAAATTCAGAGTGAATCACTTGTACAAGGAAGAGGAAGTTGGACGGTCCACTCCCACAGATGCTGCTACTTCTGCAGTCTGTCTACTCAAACCCAAGTTTGACTGGTCCATGAAGTAAAACACCACAATGAAAAAAAAAATTACTTTCTGCAGCTTGCATGCATGTCTTCTTTTTCCCCAGTATTTTAGATGAGCCTCGACCGTTGTCCAATTTTATTTATTGAAAGGGATTTTTCAAAGAGATCTTTTAATTGATTTAAACATTTTAGCATTTTTGAAGTCCAGACAAGTTGTGCTCTGCAGCCATCCTTCCTGCCCTCACATCTTAAGTGAATATCTTAAGGCTTGTGTGCACAAGTGGGTTGCTTGCTTCCTGTTTCTACTTTGTGGTCTTTAAGAACACTCACTAATAATACTTCATGTTTCTGTATATCCTGTGTGAAATGTCATGTACATTACTGCACAAAAGTTTCCTCACCCAGGGGTGTCAAGACAATGGTATGTATCTATCCCCATTTGACAAGGATGATGCCATCATTAAGCTTGTCTAGCCACAGAAAATGGCAGCACAAAGGTCAGTCTCAAAACTGAAAAAACAGAACCACTCACTTGCCTTTATTTTATTACCCTTCTCATATGAAACTGTCACACTTTTAACATAACACATCTTCTTACACATCACAGCATATATATCACCTCAAATCCACTCCAGACCTGTTGTCTAACGAAGGATTTTCCCACACCTGCCCAGGAAACAGCTAAAACACCACTGCTGCCCAAGATCAACAAAACACATCTTGGCCTCTGCTGCTTATTTCACTTCTGTTTTTATTTCATTGTAAGAAAGCAAGTGAAAGGTTATTTAACGTGCTTTTTCCATTAAACAAGTGCACATTTCTCTTTACTGAAAATTCAAAAGATATGCCTCTACAGCGTTCATGGTGAAGCTTGGGTCAGAGAATTGCTTGAAGAGGTGGAGGGTTAGCAGTGTTGGAGACTCTGTCTGCACCACAGAAACTAATGATACAAATGCTTCAAGTTTTTTTCTTTTATAGATCGAAAGTTCACAAAGCAACAGGATTCCTGTCCCTTACTTCATCTAAATGCTATTGTTAGAAAGCTAAACTTCCTCTTTTCACTAATCCTGAAAGTTTTTCCACACCATTATATTTTTTCTTTCTATGACTGCTCTTCTATCTATGAATAGCTGCTATGGTGTCGAAACAAGAGTAGCGATCACGTTTTACCCCAAACTGTCATGGCATCCTGGATCAGGGCATATGGAAGGTTAACGGAACAAAATTCTGTTGTAGATGCAAATTTTGGTGACGGATAAGTTACAACATAACTTGGCAACATTGGCAACATTGGCAACATATGTTGAATGTCACATGTTAATCATAGTTAGGTCCATATATATTTGGACACTGACACAATTTGTTTTACCTGATTACTGAAACATATTCCAATTATAGTCATATAAGTATAGTAAGGCTAGATATTAACTTTCTAATTTTGCATTTGCTTTCTTTTAATCATAACGCTTACATACCAAATGAAGACTTGACATTTTAATTCAGTTCAATTCATTATTATTTATAGTCTCAACTCACGACAACATTCACCTCAATGTGCTTTATATTGTATAATAGACCTGACACTAATAGGGAAGAACACCAACAATCAGATGAACGCCCCTTTGAGCGAGTACTTGGTGATTGTGGAAAGGAAAAACTCAGTTTTAATAGAAATAAGCCTCCAGCAGAACCAGGCTGAAGAAGGAACAGCCATCTTCTGTGAACAGCTGGGGGTTTGAACACCCCATTATGAACATTGTATCATTTGTCTTATACTAAATTCAAGTAATGGAGGGAAGACAGAACCCTGAAAGCTGAACCCTTTAAAAGCTTTGTTTTTTGCAGGTTTTATAAATTTAAGGTTTTACCAACAAATAAAATTAGATTTTGTTTTCAGAACTGTCAAATTGTTCAGATTTTGAAAATGTAATTGATTTTCAGTATGTTAGTTCGCTGAAAATGTTGAAGCTCAGGTCTAAGAGTTCAGGTCGAAGAGAGCAACTGGGACCAGGTAACTGAGCTCAGTGAGATTAGCCCAAGACTTTAGCAGGATGTCATTTAGAGCGCCAGTTTTCGCAAATATTACATCAAAAACTACTAGAGGAGGAATTTGGGAGATGATGTCTGTGAAATCTTTACCCATCCACCTTTTTATAATGCATAGCTAAAGATCTTGACTTGAATGAGTTGTTTGCAGTATTGTTTCATAACTTTGACTCAAGTAAAGTGATATTGTAAATGTCTTAGCATCACCACTTAGCATCAGTGATATAGTTGCTTAAGTCCATCACCTGCAAATGAGGAAATATGGTGAACAGAGTTGACACCAAATTAAATTTGCTTCCTTTGAGCTATTTAACAGCAAGTCCTAATTCCCTAAGCTTTCTGTTATTAAATGGCAGTAGTATGGGAGCGATATGTGCAATTCAATGTATGTAATGTTGATGTAACTTGATGTAACTAGAACATAATTTGAATGTTCAGTATAGAGAAGTGCAGTTGTTCAGTGAATAAGCAAGTCAAGTAACCTTTCACTTGCTTTCTACAACAAATTAAAAACAGAAGTGAAATGAGTAGCAGAGGCCAGCTTTCGTTATCTATCACGCTGATCTCGGGGTGCAGCGGTGTTTTGTTTTCTCTGTTGAGGAACCTGTTGCTAAGGTTGCATTGCTATTCAATTTATCTGAGAAGGACGGCAAAAGAAAGGAAACCATCAAATGTTTGTTTGATCACATTATAGTTACCAGCATTTTTGTCATGATAACTGTCTGATTCTGATTCTCTGACCCTAAGACATTCTTCAAATTCTCCACTTATTCACTCACAGTGTTTTGTATATAATACCCTATGTATGAATGACTGCAGACAGCTGTTGAAAAATTTCAAATATTATAAGATGCTGGTGTCTAAAACATCTGGATTAAGATCATGGGCACCTCAACGTTTATATTTTCTAGATGAGTAAATATTACAGTTGATATATACACAAAGTTTTGCACTGTAATGTGACAAAATGTGGGAAAGTTCAAGGGGGCCGAATACTTTTGTAAGCCACTGTATTTCCCTGGGGGTCAGTTCCTTGATAATTTCTTGATTATGCAAATTTTCATAACCATTGATCAACAAAAACTGATCAAAGACTATAAGTACCTTTCAGAGAGAGTTGGGAAATGGCTGCAAAACCTCACAGCCCATTGTTCATTCAGTGGGCTAGGTTCAGTTATTATGCAAATGTAAGATTGATGAAACCTGCAGTCAGCTGAGACTGAGGAAGCCACTTAGAATCAACCTTTTGGGATTATATAATTTTTATTTCCTAAAAAGTTGATTGTGTTTTGCATTTGTTTTCTGTGGAAAACTCCTTCCTAACCAACCAGTCTCAATTCCTCCCCCCATCAGTCAACACTGCATACTCACAGGGCTGCGTTCTCAGTCTCCTACTGTGTACATACTTCGCGCCTATGACTGTACATGATCCTACCAAACCATCATCATCATCAAGGGCTCATTTCTGATGGAGATGAGACAGAGGTAGAGAACTTGTCCCACTGGTGCTCAGAAACAACCTGATGCCAAACATCCTTAAAACAAAAGAACTCATGGACTCCTGAATCATGGACTTCAGGAGGCACAGACAGGTCTACTCCCCTCTAATTATAAATGAACAATAGGCGGAATCTGTTTCCACCTTTAGGTTTCTGGGCATCCA